CCCCAAAACCCCAAAACCCCAAAACCCCAAAACCCCACCTCAGCATTAATAAATTGAAAACACTTAATAATCGTCATCATCAAAAGCTCCCAAGAAATCTAGATCAGGAGCTACAGCATTGGTCTCTTCTATCAGCGAATCAGCGGCTTGTACAGAAGCGTGCTCTATTTCTCTGCTGGCTATGATTTGTTCTTTATGCTGAGAGGCTAAGGCAAATTCGTTCATACGATCTTGGAATTGCTTATCTTTTTGATCTTCCTTCTCCTTTCTCTTGACTTCTTCTTCCTGTTTCTTTAGCTCCTGTTCTTGTTGAGCTTTCTTATCCATAACTTTGATAGTAACTCCAGCGTTATTGGCTCGCCCACCTCCAATGAATGGGATAGTGTGAGCTGTAGATCTGATGTTAAATTTGTCATATTTTGAAACATTGGCATCTTCTATAGACCCTACTGCTAAAGAAGCACTCTCGTCCTTAATGATAGGCATTTGGTTAAATTTTCTCCTATTCATAATAATCATGAGGTGCCCATCTGAGCGAAGATAGAATGGAGCTGTTTCTAGTTGATCAAACCCTCCATTAGCAGTGAGAGGTGTCCATTTCTGGTTTGGAAGATCTTCTACCATGAATTTCATAATTGAGCTAATTTTTCAAATATCATAATCCTCTGGGTTTTCTTCCTCAGGGATAATTCCAAGGTTTTTCAGTACTTCGTTGATTTCATGATATCTCATATTACGGTTTAAAAGGATTTCCTTTTTACGAGTAAGCTCTCCTGAGCCACCATTAGGGATCCATTCTCTTATCACGACGATAATTTCCATAGGATCAGTAAGGATCTCTTCAAAGTCAAGTAGCTGCATTGCATATACTTTGTTCCTACAGAGACCATAGTCCTTAACTAATTTACCATCTCTCATGACTTTACCTAGCCTTTCAACTCCTTTATCTCTGATCCTAATTCTGTCTCTTTGGATTGGTTCTCCTTCTAGGAACTTTTTAGAATATTCCTGAGCAATTAGCTGTTTGAGTTCTCTAACACTGCATTCCTTATCAACACTGACTTCGAAGAGAACATCAGAATATATAAACAACTCATTATCCTCTTGGTGATTGAAATGAGCTTCGTATATGATCACATTTTCTGATCCTGAACTCTTAGGCTTGCCAAGCTCGATAAATACCTTTGATTCACTTTGCATCCTAGCTTCTACTAGAGTTTGGGACAGGTCTCTGATCTCTTCATATCTGATACCTGCCTTCATTATTCTGAACTCATTGATGTCGACGCCTATTCTTTCAGAGATCTGCATCTTTAGTTCGAGAATGGTCTGGTACTTATCCATGAACAGAGTGTTTTCATAGGTGCTAGCAAATGACTTATACTCTTCATTCGCCCATTGATCTACTGGACCATCATGAGGATTGTTAAAGTGGATTATGCTCCTATTAGCGTGTTTTTCGAATTCTTTTTGCCAATTCGTAGTGTCACCTGAGTCAATTTTGAAATCAACAAAGACTCTACAACCTTCATCTACTCTGCTAGATTTGAGAGATTTAGTCTTGTCATCACCACCATCTATTTCTTCGAGAGTGACACCTCCTCCAAAGTATTTTTCAGTGTAGAGGACAACATTTTCGAAAGATTGGCCTTCCTGGAGTGTGCCTTTTTCAATCATATTTACAATAATTTCCTGCTCTAACTCTCCTACTGTGTTGTTCTGGTTGACAAAGAGGACTTGGCAATCAAGATATTGCTCCTGAAGGCTCTGAATGCTATCCTTCCAGAGATAATACCTTAACGGAATCATTTCAGTAGGAAGAGAGTCAAATACCTCATCTGGCTTCTTTGTTTCAATGAAAATAGGAGCTCTAAGGTCTATTCCTAACTCTTTAAGAGATACATCTTGTTTATCTTCAAAAGAGTTTTTGAGAAGCTTAAGTCCAACATTGTATGTACGGATCTGAGTGTCTTCCAGCTTAATCCCCTGATTTTCAAGCTCATAAACTTTATAAGCTTCTTCATGAGCCATTTTAAGAGAGTGGTAATTCTTAAAATCGATTTTCTTCTCCACAACTTTAACTAATGGATCACTTGGTCCAATTTTATTTGAACTAATATCTTCGGTCGATTCTTCACTAGCTTTAGACTTTGCAAAAATTCTGAGAGTAATATGAGCTTCTCTTTCTTTGCGGTCGGCTTCCATACGGAGTCTGGACTTCTCTTCTTCTCTGAACTCCTCATTATCCTTCTCAACCTCGTCCTTGATATAGCTTGGAATTTCTTCCTCGTTGATAACTGCTCTAAAGTCAGTGTCCACTTCTAGTTTTTCGGTCGATTCTTTAAGTTTGAGCTTCTTGTAGATTACTAAGTAGGCATTCCTAGTACTTCTTCCATCTCCAAACATTTCTTCAATATCTCCAATAGAGATCTCGCTTACTGTGGAGTCGTTGAAGTGGTACCACTGATCGTCTTCGAAGGATTTTATATAAGCTGAGTAATGACCACCTGCTACACCACCGGAATGGATGAGAACACTGTACAGGTAATAGACCCATTCACCTTGGACTATGTAGTTTTGAATATCAGTTTGGATCTCGTTAAGAATTTCTGCATCATCTCTAGCCTTATGAGAAGGAGGCATAGTAGGCACTGCAGTCCCTCCAGTGGATCCATTCTGGTTGTTATACACTACATTTGCGATTTGGTCTTGGTCATCAAGATTACCATAGAAAAACTCTTTCTTTGGACCTGAAACAGAATTCATAGGGTCTGAATAGTCAATATCTTCCTCTCCCATCGCTTGCCGTTCTGACATTTCCTGAAGTTCTTGTGCTTGTTTAGCCTCCTGATCTACCTTTTGTTGGTCCTCAATAGTTTTATCAGACTGGTCTTCTTCCTTTATTTCCTCTGCTGTTTGGCTATTAATTTGTAAATTTTCCTCCTGCTGGACTTGCTCTTGCTGAAGGTCCTGGAAATGGGGATCAGTTTGTTTTATTTTATCAGAGATATCCTCATTCACATACTTGTTCATATTAAGGATGTAAGGGAAGGTAATCTTATCATTGATCTTAGTCGCATTCCCATATTCGTTAAAAGTGAATCGGTTAAGCTGTATAATCATGGTATCAGGTAACTTCTTGAACAGAAGTCCTTTGACGGCTCTCACCTTCTTATCACAGGTCTCTCAGAAATACTTGTTGTCTTCATCCAGGACCTCTGCTTTCACATAGTTTTCCAGGGCTTCTTGAAGTGAAGAGTTGTTGATATTGTTCCAAGGGTCATGAATCGGAAGAGACAAGTCAAGAAACTCAAGGATGTTTATCCTTTCATAATCTCATTCTGTACACTTTAGATAATCAGACATAGCTCCTTGGTACAAATCATTGATTCTTCAAGGCTTTTCAATAGCTTTGAAACTCTCCTCGATTGCGTTAAAGAGGACACGACAGAATTCTTGAATATCCTGTTGATAACTTACTTCATTCGAGTGCCAATTGAAGCTGGAGGTTAGCCCTTTTGTGCTAACCTTATTTCTGAGGGATGTCTGAAGACACCCAAATAGTATCTGCAGTTGTAAAGGAATACAATATTCCTTGCTAAATTTATCCTCTGCTTCCTTATAATCCCACGAGTAGAGGATAGACCTGAAATCAGGAGTCATATAGAGCGTCTGCAATAAACTGTTGAGATATCAGGTGGCTCCCTGATTTTGGATTCCTCTATACTTCTCTGTTTTCTTGCCCTTCTCATTCTGGTTTGAAGTAGCCACTGTAACTACATCTCCGACTGGGACCAAGGCGTACATGGTGTCTGACCCGATGGCCACTTCATCATCTCCAGTGCCTATAGCTATTGAGTTTGATGTTTGAGTATCCATTCTTGCTTAATATCTTCGAAATTAAATAAATGTTTTCAATGGCTTGATTTATACAGGGGTTTTGGGGTTTTGGGGTTTTGGGGTTTTGGGGTTTTGGGG